CAACCGCCACAAAAATTAACCGACTAATTAAATTAATTATTAAAAAATAATAACAGCAGCCCTTTTCTCCTTATAATTTCAATACACAATCTTAGTAGGAAATAAATATATTAATAGATATATTTTTAGGAGCACTCGTATAAATAAGCATCTAACCTCCGCACCCAAATTAACTCACCGCTTCACTTTTGAGTTGGTTCATCTCTTTGATCTTGGATGACAAGAGAAGTTCTTGTGTCCATTGTTGAACTCTCCTTGTTGAACACATGGAAAAGTTCCTGTGTTTATTGATAACAATTGTTTGTCTTAGATACGAACAACTGTTCATGTGTTCTTTGATCTTGAATGTGGAAGAAGGCTTCCGTGTTTATTGATAAGATGAAGGGATTAATCTCTTAATCTGGAACTCAGGCAGAAGTCCTGCGTTCATAGCTTTTGAACGCAGGTTTAACTTCCTTGCGTTCAGGCTGATCCTGACGCATGTTTAGATTTACTGCGTTTGCCTCCATCTATTTTATTAACTTTGCTTTGGCTCATATGCCAGGTGGGGCTTCTGCTGCTGAGCCCATTGTTGTATCTGATGATGAAGAAGAAGGAGTTCTCCCAGAGAACGCCCCTCTAATTACACCGCTTGCAATGGTTCCTCGTGGTAAAATGTACACCCCAGACCTTGAGAGTGTAACTTTCCTCACCAATCTCCTAGAGAACATGGTGAAGCAGGCACACTTCATCGCGGAGCAAGGATGGGCTCCATTTTCAGATTTTCTGGATTCGTTCTTTGATGTGATGGACTTGCTAGAACGCCTCAATCGCAGTTGGGCTGGTCACTGTGTCAGGAAGGTTCACTCGTTCAGACGTTCAGTGGAACTCATAGAAGAGCTGCAGAGCACTGACTTGGAGCCTGAGATAGAAAAGACTCTTCAGGCTTTGCGATCAGAAGCTGGCTCTGCTGCTCTCACCGCCGAAGAACTGAGAGCGAAGGCTGCCACAGAGGTCCGAGCTAAAAATGCTGCACGTATAGCTCAGGCTAGGGCCCATCTCGCGTCCTTTTCTCTTCGGGAACCACCTTTTTATATTCGATAACTTTTTAGTCTGTAATAACTTTTTGATACTCTCATGACAATTATGACTTTTGCCTGTGATGAATTGTGGACATCTCTTGAAATGATATGGTTTTTCTTGTGGTATGAAAACTTCTGTAAAGTTATTCTCTTGTGTCTGAATGGTTTGAACGCAGGCCCGTTGAGGACATCTGGCTTTGTCAAACAGGTTTGACCTCGACTTCAAGACTTGGATGATAGTCATAAGTCTGATCTTTTAGATTTCTTCTAGCTTGTAGAGTACCTTCTGAAAGTTGGAACGATCATGTTGTGCGTTCATTGGTGTGAACACAGTGTCAGATTCTGTAGCTGTAGGACTTGAAACGCAGCTGTAGACATGTCTTGAATGCAGCCATAAAACTTGCGTTCAGGAGAGCCGAACGCAGGCTCTATCAAGGACGCAGGATTCTGACTTCGTGTTCAAATAGATCTGAACTCGGCTTTGAGATTTGAGCTGTGTTCAGACAAGTTTGACGCACTCCAATTTGTGAACGCAACATCTGATTCTACGGCTGTAGGACTTGCAACGCAGCTGTAGACATGTTTTGAATGTAGCCATAGGACTTGAAACGCAGCTGTAGACATGTCTTGAATGTAGCCATAAAACTTGCGTTCAGGAGAGCCGAACGCAGGCTCTATCAAGGACGCAGGATTCTGACTTCGTGTAGAACACATAAATAAAATATGGGTTTTCTTGATCACCCATCTTTTGTTTTTTTTCTAATTATTTCAGGCGATTACGTAATCGGATCCACCTCTTTTTTTTTTTTTTCCTTTCAACTAGTAGATTATGTTCTAATTAGCGGAAAAGGTTAATTATACCTTCACCTTTATTCCTCAAATCGCTTAATTATTTCTAGCTTTATTCTTGAAGGGAGATGCCAAAAGTTTATACCCTTTTGTTGATTGATTTATTAGTTGCAATAAATCATTCTCAAGTATCCTATGCTTATGATCCTTTACATTCATCATTGTGTGCATGAAAGCGAACTCCCATAATGATCCCACTTTGTTGCATGGATTTAGTTATAGATTGAAGCATTTCATTAAATTATTACTAACCAAGCATCCAAATGATTCATTGGTACCTACTATATAAAAAAATAAAAAATAATTGAAAAAAAAATTTCCCCCTCTAAATGTAGCTAGCAATTTCTTAGCCAATACATTTTTTGCCCCCACCTTGAATTCTTATAGCCTCCTACTATTGTACCTTCCTTCCTTTCCTAAGGGGCTGTTTGGTTTCCTGTTTTTGAGGGAAAGACTCTCTTGAAAGCCTGTCAAAAGTATCAAAAGTGTCATTTTTTGGCAGGCTTTCAGCCAAAATCGCCTCTAAAAAAGAAGATTTTGGCTGAAAGCCTGCAGCCAAAATCGCCTCTAAAAAAGAAGATTTTGGCTGAAAGCCTGCCAAAAAGTGACACTTTTGACACTTTTGGCAAGCTTTCAAGAGAGCCTATCCCTAAAAGCCAGGGAACCAAACAACCCCTAAATGTAGCTTTACCCTTATTCTTTCCACACCTTCTTGTCTTGTGATGCAACACACACCTCATTTTCCAAGATTGGTCCTTTTTTAATTGACCATATTACCCTTCATGATTCAATCCAAGAAGATTAGTAGGTGATCCCATACTTACCCTCTAAAACAACCCCAAGAATTTTCCCCTCCACTTTTGCTTATTAGAGGTGAGTGATACTGTGTCCATCTTTGTTTGCTCGCTCTTAGGTAGGAAACAATGGAGGGCATGGAGTTGAAAGGGAGTTTGCATCGAATCCGGGAGTGCGCGTTCGAGTTCTTTTCGATGGAGGATGATCTTGATGTTGGCGGTGATGATGATGATGGTGAGGATGGGGATTATTGGGAGATGCTGGGGAGAGATTTTAGTCTGAAATCCACCTTCCTGTATTGCGATCTCAATCGAATCATCAAGAGTTCTTGTGATGGTGATCACAAGGATGCTCTCGTAGGTCTTACCAATGGATTGTTCTTCTGCATGGAAGAGGTAAATTATTTCCATATTTTCTATCCATTGAACATAATATAGTTAGATGTTGAGAATTGAAGATGTTGGACCATTAATGAATTAAATTGGTTATGTGGGCAATTAATGTTAGCTTGTTGAATTGAGAATGTTATCAAGTATATGGGCTGCATGCGTAGAGTGCAAGTTATTGGAAAGTAGTTGGGAGTATCTTTTGTCTCTTCAATCTTAAACCCTGATATCAAATTGGAGAAGGGGTCTACAAGAGCTTTGGTAAAACTTATTGTGTGTAATATGTATATCACAATCTTGAAGTGGAAGCATAATTAAGGGTAAATTTACACTAAACCCCCAAGAACTTTCAGCGTTTTCACAGCCTCCGATAACTTTCAAAATCGAACCAATAGCTTTTGCATTTTGCAGAGAACGCCCAATAAGTTTCTGCTTTTTGCATATAACCCCCATAAATTGCAACCAAAATACAACATAAAAAGACATTTTGACAGTTATTGGGGGTTTAGTGTAATTTACGCAAAAGTTATTGTGGATTTAGTGTGATTTTGAGACTTATTGGGGGTTTACTGCAAAACGCCGAAAGTTATTGGAAGGTCTAGTGTAGCTTACCCTATGATTAACATAGAGTTTTTTTTTTATTGTATTTGTTTGTGAAATCGCAGTTGGGTCATGCCGTAAAGAGGAGGAGCATTTCTCTGACTCAATTTCATTACAACCAAGCTAAGCTCTTGCTGGAAGAAGTCATGGCTGCTCTTGTTCATCCTTCACTGAATTAGAGAGAGGAAGAGAAAGGAGAATATAATGAGTTTATGTGACTTGTTGATATCTTTTCCTCCTCTATTGAAAGAGTGAAGAAAAGTCGTTTTTATAATACTTGCATGTTAAAGAGAAGAATGTAAATAACAAGTTGTGTACGTTTTTACATTGAGGTACAGAAAATATGTGAAGTTTGGCAGCCACATGCACTTTACATGTTTTGCTTTGTTACTTCTTCTTCTCATTAATGTCTTTGCTCTTTTATCTAATGATGAATTGGTGAAGAGAAAAAAAATAGTGATTATTAAGGAATCATCATTAAGATTTGGCCTCAATCATACTGGTGTACATCATATGATTCTTCATCATGGAGACATTATTTGGAAATTCCTTGTGGCAACTATTTCAAATACATAAAAAAAAAAATCACCTCCACTTTTGTCCACAAGCTATTCACAGATACAAGTGATGCAAGAGCCTTATCCAATCCTTCTGCTTGCTTTCATTACCATTCAAATTTTCAAGAAAACATACGGCAACTTCAATGGCAGCAACTCTGCAGCTCTGCTCATCAAATCTCCTTAGAAAACCAAGCTGCAATCTCCATCAACTCTTCATCAATAGAAGATCAGCAATATCGATAGCTCTCTCCTCCACAGCTTTCCTGAACCAAAATGCTGCTGCTTCTGCATTTGAGCTGAGATTCACAGTCCCTGACCAAACAGTGGAAGAAGCCGAAGCTGTTATAAGAAGCCATGCTCAAGCTCTCCTACAGATCAAAGCCCTCATAGAATCAGAGTCATGGAGAGATGCTCAGTTCGCGCTTCGAGAGAGCTCGAGCTACCTGAAACAAGATCTATATACCATAATTCAAGGAAAACCGGGGAGTCAGAGGCCGTTGCTGAGAAAATTGTATTCAACTCTGTTCAACAATGTTTCAAAGGTTTTTTTTTTGTTGTGATTTGTGTAAACCAGTAGAATTTTTGTTTTTGTTTTCGTGTTCGACGAGTGACAGTGCTCTGTGATAATAATGCAGTTGGATTATGCAGCCAGAAGCAAAGATGCTGCTGTAGTGAAGGAATGCTACAACAACATTGTTGCAACTCTCGATGAGATTTTCGCAAAGATTTAGCAAATCGTCGACAAAGAATTATATAAAGGAGAGAGTCACCAGCACAAGTTGTTTTGTATTGAAAACATCTTGAATTCTTTGAAACCACAGGCCTAGCTCCTAGTATAGAGAAAGAAGAGAACTGCAGTCAAAATATCGAGGAAAGTTCAAAGTCGAGGAATTTTTTTTAAACTTCTTATATATTGATTTGTGCTACTGACTGATGACTAGATAACAGTCTTTGGTTCTTATAACAGGAAAAAAGAAAAAAAAAATGCATGAATCTCATACGTGTTTGTATGGGAATTTCTGCCATCATTTTCTGAAAAAGTATCCTAATGATTGGGAAACCTAGGAAAGCAGAGCCTTGTGTATTTTACATCTCGGAGATGGATTCACAGTGTTTCGGTTGGTCAGTATTGTGCAGGGTGGATCTGAACCATATAAAGGATTTGTATCCCGCGAGATACCAAAAGTCCTGATTTGGGTAAGCGGGACTAAACGCAATGTTAGAAGATTTTTCAGTAAATTGCCCAGGGTTTTTGCCAGTGCACCTTAGTTTGGATGGAGAAGAAGGGCAGTTGTTCTTGAATGTGCCTGCAATGATCATCTCCTACAGTATTTCAGACAAGGTGTTCATAAAAGTATGCGATCGACAATCTCCAGTGGCACCTTATGGTTGTCTCTATGGTTGGAGAAAGTTTGTATTTTTCGGTCATACTCTACTCTCTCCATGAACTACTGATGTGTGACAGTGATGAGTGATTTCTATCTGCTAATGTACGCAATACTTGTAATCTTGAATTGTTAACATTTTATTCACAAAAAAATTCAGAATTCATTTGGTAAGAGTTCAGAATTAATAGGTATAATGCCATGTAATTTGTCCTCATATATATATGTCATGTAGGTTTAATGGTTAATTAGAAAGCTGGAAATAGAAACTCGTGATTTTTGGGTAAATTATTTGGTCAAGAGAATTGATCACAGCAAACTTTTTAGTCGATAACAAATTTCCGTGAATTCTCTGCAGTTTTGAATCAGACTTTTAATTGCTCGGTCTGTCATCTAACCTTGGTTTCATCTTCTTCCTTTCACTTCTATGGTGTGGCTTCAGACAGACAGAAACTTAAAAGCAAACAGTAATGCTGGAAGCAAGAACAATTATTTTTTTGGGGATAATTATTCAAAGAAGGATAATTGTAGCTCGATGTTTTCGAAATGAAATAAACAAGAAAATTATGAAGCAATCATCAGCAGCGTGTTAGAGATAAATCTATGAATTGGATTGAGATAAATCTATGAATTGGATTTCACAGATCAATATCGCGATACACAAACTAGTCGACAAACGAACTTTTGTTGGGAGTTTGCGTACATAAGTGTAGTTCTACAAAGGAAGGAATCAGTAAAATTAATGAACTCAAATTTACTGTACTCGTACTCATGCTGCTTAAATGATTAGCACCAAAATAAGCTAGAAAGTTATTTATGCAAATTAGATGGATAGGCAAGGTATTAGTGATTTGTTACATAACTACGATTTAAGAGTAATGACATGTTTGCAGCTTCTATAGATATTTCAAGAAAACATCCATGACCTGTCAACAGCAACAAGGACATTTCAGAATTCAGGAAGAGAACGTTATGTGACCAAACGAATAAAACTTTCGCCCATCGTACAAGCCACAAGATCCTGGTCGAGGCAGTTTCGCATCACAATTTTCTGTAAACACGTTCTCTTATCGATAAAATCAATTGCCAATCTCCTTCTTTCACTCCTCGGCAGAAAGCATATGGGTGAAAATTTCTATATTCTCTCTTGTTGATTGCCTGTAACTCTAGCTCAGTTTGTATCTCAAGATACGAATCCAACATGACCCAATCTGCACGGTCCAAGACTATTTGATCAGTAGAAGTCCTTTTCTAAACTCTTCTCTTTTTTATAACACCACGACGTAGAGAATAAGGAAAGCAGATGTAAACCAAGAGCATATTCCCACTGCACCTGACATAAGAAAGCCCGGAATTTTCAAGCCTGATAAAAAAAAAACAAATACCACAGGTTTTATATACTTAGCAGAATAGATCATCAGCATCTCCATCATACAAATGCCTACTACTTTCTTCCTCAATGAAGATATCACCGCCGAGATACTCGCTCTCCTTCCAGCGAAGGATATCTGCAGACTTCGTTGTGTATGCAAACAATGGCTTCACCTCTTGTCAAACCCCCGCTTCATCCAGCATCATTCTGCTCGTAACCCTCACCCGCCAGTCTCTGGCTTCTTTTTATCTGATCACAACCATGGCTCTCAACATTTCCCGATAAAACCAAACCCACCACGGCTCCCCAATCCTACCCTTTCCTTCATCCCTGCAGATGACGGAACCCGAATCTTCGTTGAGAGCTCCTGCAATGGCCTCATCATATGCTTTCAGAAAGCCATGTATTATGTTTGCAATCCTACTACCAGAGAATTTGTTGAACTTCCTGTACCGGATGAAGTAGCTCGCAACTTGAGCCTTGTCTTTGATCCCTCGAAGTCCCCTCATTATAAAGTAATCAGCATATGTTCACAGGTCCACATCTACTCCTCTGAAACTCGGTCATGGAAGCTCTCTATGGATAATACCAAGCTACGAGAATCCGTAAGCGCTCATCAGGCCGGAAGTATCCACTGGAAAAGGAGCACATATTGGAACAGCACACTAGTGTGGTTAGTTACAAGGTATCTTCTTTCGTTCGATGTGACGAGAGAGTGCATAACGAAGTTGACGCTGCCACCAGAAGCTCCTCACTACTCGAAAGTGATATACATGGGAGAATCGAGAGGGAAGCTAGTAGTGATTGGCAAACCTAGGAACCAAGAGCCTTATGTATTCTACATCTTAGAGACGGATAATTTGTGTTCCGGATGGTCACTGATATACAAAGTGGATTTATATCGTATAGGGGACTTGTATCCTGAGATACGAAAAAGACCAATTTGGGTAAGCGGGATTAAACGCAATGTACGAAGACGTGCAGTAAATTGCGCGGGATTTTTGCCTGTGCACCTCAGTATGGGCGGAGAAGGAGAAGGGCAGTTGTTGTTCTTAAATGTGCCAGGAAAGATCATCTCTTACAATCTCTCAGATAAATCGTTTACTAAAGTTCGTGATCTATTGTCTTCGATGGGACCTTACGATTGTCTCTACGGTTGGCGAAAGTTTGAATTTCTGGGCCATACTCTATTCTCTCCGTAAGCTTTTGAAGTTTAGCTGTCTGCGTGAATCATGTGAGAAAAGAGTGATTTGTATAGATTGTGGTATGCTTTGTTTGTATTCTTGGGTTGTCAAACCTTTTTAGTTGAAGTTCAGAAGTTATTTGATAAAGATCGGAATGAATGTTTAGGTACAATGCTGTATGATTATTTCTAAGTAAAGAACATGATTTCGATCAAATCGGTCAGTCACCTAGTGAATCTGACATGATTTCGAAATATCAACATAAGATGTAAAATTTCAGGAGTCTTAAATCCAGTTATTTACAAGCAAGCACCAAGGGCGTATCCTCTAGAAATATCTACATAAAAGGCTTCTTCTCCTCCCAATCAGTCCTGCTACATAAAAGTATTTTGTATAAAAAAAATTATGTATTTATATATAATATCTTTTCTTTGGCATAGTTATCATCGTATCCTCTAGAAATTTAGATCATATAGTAGAGAGGTACCCCGTTAATTATAAAAAGTACACCCAAAACCTCTTCATCAACCTTAATTTCATCACGCGCTCAAGTTAAAAATCCTCTCTTCTCTTCTCCGTGAGCAACACAAATCAATTGCGTATGATATACATCACAACTGATATACATCGTAACTCTCGGTTGCACTTCTATGTGCTTCTCTCTCTCTCTCTCTCTCTCTCTCTCTCTCTCTCTCTCTCTCTCTCTCTCTTAGAATCACCCCATATACATTGGAGAAAACTCTCTCTCTTCTCTCTCTCACTTTAATCAAGAACAAAATCAATTTAAAGAGTTCAAAGACCAATCAAACTTCTGATAAGCAACATCAACAGAGTCACCATCATTGATCAAATAAGTCAAGTAGCCAGTTATAGTTGAGTCACAGAACCCCATTATCCACCTCAGCATCTCCTCCTGCTGCCCGAAATCTGAGTCGTACCATTTCATGATCTTTGTTAGATACACTGTTCTCTTGCTCAGATCGATCTCGATACCTCCATTGTTGAAGAACTCTCTTGCTGCGTCTCTGAGCTCGAGCTCGACTGATTGGGAGGAGAAGAAGCGTACGTACGGGCAGGACTGTGTGGCGTTGCATAGGCCGAAGTGGATCAGAGGGTTCAGCTTTGGGAGAGCCAACTGAGATTGAGTTTGAATAGACTGAAGTTAGAAGTCTTAAGAGAATTTTGCATTGGAGGCAGATGAAACAAATTTATAGCTCTATGTTTGATTGGCTGTAAAATATCGTAGTTTGTAACTACCAAGAAATCTAGAGTTCTGCATAGGAATGCTATAAAATATGTTCATTAGACAAAATACCACAATTTTGAAATCAACAGGATATACTATAAAAATCTACTCATGAGTTAGGCATCGTGAACTTCTACTCGTGTCTAATAAATTTTCTGAACTGTCAACTAAAGTCATAAAACTACCAAGGAACCTCAGTTATTACCCTATAGTTGTCAGATAACATGTGATATTTTTTGCTGATTTTGAAATTTTGCAATATTTTTCTCTAACAAATTTTTTTTATATGGTGTTTGTACAGAACTCCTGAAACTTCATGGCAGTTTTGTGAGATTTATCATTGAGTAAATTGTGATTGCCACTACAATTACAATGCTCGAAGCATAAATGAGCATAAATGGCTGAGATAATATTACATGTACATGTTGTAATAATTTTCTAGATACTCTTAGGAGTTGTGTTTGATTTGATAATTTCATAAACGGTAGTTGGAGTTACAGGTGCATTTATAACATTATGAGCATCCAATTTCGTATTTTTGGAAACTGAATATGTGAGCGAGTAATGTTTTACCTCTAATCTCTTGTCTCCAGCACTGAATGGCTTGCTGAAAGTGTAAGGCTGCCGTCTATTTGATCTCAAGATCCCATTCTTGATGGTGGACAAAGAGTAAGGATAGCCTCCAACTACGTACTGGAAATCATTGAAGAATGCCCTTCGATCCATGACTCCAGGCTTTCCAACTCTAATAACCGCGTGAATAACCATCGCATTGTATAGATTCAAGAAGAAAGCCATTGTCTCGTCCATAGAGAGGGTGAATGGGTCTATTCTTTGAAGATCTTGAGCTAGATTCAGGTATCTGATGCAAACAACAAGACTTCTTCGTCAAACTCACAATTATCATCTGTCATGACAATGAGATTGATAGTGACACGTATCATGGAATCAAATGAGGATGATTAAAATGGAGAAGTGCTTCTAAAGTCTTATATAATTGTAGGATATACCTGTGAAATTGAAAATTCTCTAGAACAATTGTGACCAACAATGCTTTGGATCAGAATGTTGGTTAGTTAATAATGTCGTGGAGATGAGTGTAACAGAAATAAGAACGATATAATGAACTTGCGGATATACAGTAAGAGATAGGATGAGAAATGAACGCATTCGTATGAGGTTTAATTTTCTCCTAGTGCGGTAAATTGAGTCAAAATCGATTGGGATGGTTTGGTTATGTGCAATATAGACTTCTAAATGCAATTGACGGATAAGAAGGATTAGATATAGGTCTAAATGAACTCGGTTGAAACCAATTAATTATGATATCATAATAATTAACTTAAGTGAGGAGATAATTCTGATGACAACTGATGAAATAAGGAGACCCACGTAGCTAACTCCATAGGACAAATGTTCTCTTGCTGTTGAAGCTAACAGATATAAACTTAATTTGAGTTTGAGTGGAACCCCACCTTCGAAATTCTTCGCTTGCAGCAATACGAGCATAATCTAAATGACTCCTATCATCGGACGCATAAGACTCGAGGATTGCAGTCATTAGCTTTGCGAGTTTCTGGCTGACAACATATGCAGATTTGGGCTCGTTATCGTTTGTGGCTTCTCTGAAATTGAAGCATTTGGTAATGGCAGGGTCATGCTCCAAGAAGCGATAGAATTGCTTTTGTCCATCCTCAAAATTGTTTTCCCTGTAAAATTCATAAATTTACTGCATATAATCAGTAAATGTATGTTTGAATTGTACTACAAATCTCTTGAAAATAATTACCTGAATACATGGTGAATGTAGTGTCTTCTTGCTAGCTCTCGTCCAATTTCAACAGCCTGCAACATGGTAATGAAAGAATAATGTCAGATTAAAGAATGTATGATTAACTTTATTAGTTAAGATTCAGTTTACATAGAGAAAGATTAGCACCAATTAAGTTACCTACAAAACTGTTAGGAGGCTACTCCAAGTAGAGCCCCTTTAAGTTGGTACTATTCACTGTGGATTCAGTGCCAACATTGAATAAAGCTGCCAGCACACGCACTCTCTCTCTCTCTCTCTCTCTTAATTTTTTTTTAATACCCTATCAACTTTTCTTTCATTTGTTTTTTTAGGCGATTATTTTAGACTACTTTGTGAAAAAAGCTTGAAATTGTTAGGCTAGGAGCCAACAATTATCATGGAAGCCTAAAGGCAAGACAGAAAGGGCAAAGTTAGAAATTGGTGGGACTCATTTGGCACTGAGAAGAAAGTATTCCTTGACTGAGGTCAAATTGGAGGCTTCATGTGATCTTTTAGCTTTCTTTACTCTACACTTTTAGCACACACATAAAACATATATTTTACTTCTTATGTCTAATATGTCTCTATTGGGGTAAGGCATCCTAAATTGTGGAACTTCTAACTTTGATTACAAATAAGAACTTCCGAAAATGCCGATATGAACAAGGAAAATAAAAATTTTATTACAAGATTATTTTTAAGTGTCATATAGAAATATTCAGATGAAAAATTAAACCTTTACCTGATAGAGGATACTAATACGCTTTAGACAGCTGAAGATATGTAAGTGCAAAGTGAGGACTATCAGGTACTTAAGTGCTATTTAGACAAAATAAAAGTAGGTGGTGAGGACTATCAGGTACTTAAGTGCTATTTAGACAAAATAAAAGTATGTGGACAATGGCACGTGATCCTAATGAATGCTCTGAAATCATGACCCTTAAAAAATAATAACAAGCATGGTTTTTATAACAAGGAGGTGCATACGGAGTTATTGACACATAAATGAAAGTTACACGGAGGTACAGGTGATTTATCTTAAGAAAAATATCTTTTAACGATCCAAGATATGGGATCAAGAGAGGGGTCAGGTAAGTTGTCCCTTTCTTATTGCATAATAAACTGATCATGTCAGCTCATTATGCAATAGAAGGAGAACATCTCACATGTGCCCTCCAATGATCTCATATTTTGCGTCCATGTAACAGCGCTCATCATGACAAAGCTTGATTCATGCCTTGTTTTAATAGCATAAACTTATACGATTTTTCTATAGAGTGCACTTGGGCACTCTATAAGAGAGGAGAGAGATAGAGAGAAATGAATGAGGAGGGGGACCCCCTGATTTGTATTGGGATCCTCTCTTCATTCATTTCTCTCTCTCTCTCCTCTCTTATAGAGTGCCCAAGGGCACTCTATAGAAAAACCGAAACTTACATGTAGAAAATTTCGTCTCTTTCTTCGAAGTCATGTACGCTAGAGTTAATGCGGGCAACGCAAATTTAGGCATCTTAGGTCCTAAATAAGATGTTCTCTACGTACCATGTTGTAGGCTAGGACAAAATTATGCTGCTTATTTCTTTAATAAAAAGGGTAAATTTCAGAAAACCCCCTTTCATTTTAGTCTTTACTAAGATAACCCCTCTTAACTTTTAAAATGTGATAAAAACTCTCTTTACCTTTTGGGATTCTCAGAAAACCCCACTCAACTTTCATTTTAACAGAGAACTCCCCTAGCGGCATGAACCACAATTTTCAAATGGAAAATTGTGATCCATACTTTTAGTGGAATTCTTTATAATAAAAAAAAAGGTTAAAAGTGGAAGGGTGTTTTTGAGAACCCTAAATCTTAAGGCGAGTTGTTTGACATTTTAAAAGCTAAGGGGGTTACATGAGAACGCCCAAACTTGAGGGGAAGTCTTGTAAAACTATTCAAATAAAATACAGTTGCCTTATATCATAATTTAAGATATTAAGGCTAAATTTGGCTTCCCCCAAAGTATATCCTTTTTCACTTTGACACCTCAAAATAATTTTTCTTAAAACTGCATCAATTATCACAACAATGTGTAATCTCTTCAGACATCATTAATTGCAATATTCAGATATCATCATATAATCAAACCTCTCGGCTTAACATGAGATATTGACTAGTTGTTAGCAACTTAAGCATTACTACTAAAAAGCAATCATTTTCAAACAGCTCCCTGGGAAAAAATTTTTTTTTTACAAAAAAGACCCCGTACCTTCTTCCTCCCGCAATCAAGCTCCTCGGCAATGGCGTCGACCATCTCGCTCCCCAACGAAGCACCCCCATCAAGATCTCAGATCTCACACAGCCGCGTCCTCACGGCAACTCTCCCTCAAAACCCTAACCACGCCTCAACCATGGCGTCCTCCACTCGTACCCTCCTCCCTCGTCCTCCCCGACCCACCGGAGACCTCCGGCCCGCCGCCTCCCGCCCCGCCATCCCCTCCACCCTCGGTCGAACTCCCCGTTCCTCCAGCCAGTGTCAGCTTCCGCGGACCCCCCCGACAGACTTCGTCGTATTGAAGAATATGGCGGGCGCGTTCGCCGGGCCCCCGCGCGGGCGCCGACGAGGCGGCCTGCGCTCGGGAAAGACGATCGAGGTTGATCTCGGCGAAGGGGAGGGACTTTCCATGCCGAGGAAGGAGCGGACGCGCCGGCGGAGTCCGCGGCAGCCGGAGCGGGAGAAGAAGGAGATGCGGCCGCGGGGGGTAGGGCTGGGGTTGACGACGACCCGCTGGAGGCCGCGATGCGGAAACTCGGTGACGGTGACCGCGGGGAGCGGGGGAGAGCGAGGAGAGCTGCCTCCGCGAGGAACTGGCGGCGGCGGCGGCGGGGCTGGAGGGGACGGTACGACGTCGGGCCGGGGCCTCGGGTGAGCCGGCCGGGGGTTGGGATATCTTTCGCCGGCGATGGGGGGTCGGACGACGAGCTATTTCCCGTCGCCGCCGGCGATGGGGGGTCCGACGAGTCCGAGAGAGAGACGTCCCTCAGCTGATCGTCCTCTCCCATGGATCCGATCTCGAATCTAGAGAGAGAAATCAAAACGAGAAAGGATTCTAGAGAGAGAGAGAAACGAAACAAAAAAAAATTCTAGAGAGAGAGAGAGAGAGATGGAAATGGGCCGCTAGTTTTCCAACAGAAAGAGGTTGCTATTTCTGGAAAAAAGGACCGCCGGCGAAGAAGCGAGAGCAGTTGACGGTTGCGGTCATTATATAGTGATGGAGGAAATGAGTCGAGTCCAAATTTTGGGATTTTTTTTATTTTATTTTATTTTATTTTTTGGTGGGGGGACCGAGTGAGGGTGCAGCAGTAGGAGAGTGCCAGGTGGAGGAAGTTACGCGCGTAATTGATTGAGGAAATGGGCGGGACTTCGGGAGCTGTTTTGTTCGGTACAAATATTATTAGGAGCTTTGCTACATGAACTCAAGATATGAGATCAACCCAAGGATATATAAGATGTCCCTCTCCTATTGCATAATGAGCTAGTCATCATTCTCTCTCCTATTACATAATGAGATGGTCATCATTATTGATGACCAGCTCATTATGTAATAGGAGGGGGACACATCACTTGTCCCCAATGTTGGTCCCATGTTTTGGGTTATTGGGGAATTTTTCTATTGTTACTGTTAGGATAACACATTCACATTCCTAAAAAATAAATATGGATACAGATTAGATAAGAGGAAAATATATACAAATTCAATAAAACATAAAATATGAGAAAAGAAAATATAAGATTGAGAAATGCACCGTTAGTTTGATATTAAAAATTGTTTTTTTAGAGTCTCTAAGCATTAAGTTAATGATCGGTCTCCATTTATATTTACATTTTAGGACATATTATTATATATATTAATAAGTTATTATATATATTAATAAGTTATAACTTGAGAGAGAGAAAGAGAGAACTACATAAATATATATTACTTATTTATAAACACATATTATATAGTTATATATGCATTTGTTATATACTTACATTATGCTTATTTAAGTATAGTTATACACTTTGCTTATATGATATACTTATGTATATACTAAATGCAATATACTTATGTACTTATATAATTGTAAGTCTATAATATACACATATAAGTATACTTATAACTACATTATATATATTTATATCTTAGTATCTATATCATGTTGAGAGAGAGAGAGAGAGAGAGAGAGAGAGATTGTCTAT